CCGAATTTGAGCTCAAGAACACATTCTGGGCTTTCTAGAATTTTGAGGCCCGCTCGAGCGGGAGAAACTACGCTCGAGCGTAAGTTTCGTGCTCCCAGCACTTTTTGCAGAGTTGGCTGTTCGCTCGAGCGGGATATTTCACGCTTGAGCGGGGAGCTTTTGTAGACGAGCCTTCCGCTCGAGCTCTCCATTCGTGCTCGAGCGTAATTTTGAGGTAACCAGTACTTTTGCAGGCCTCTTGGGTCCGCTCGAGCGGGGAAGTCCACGCTCGAGCGGGGACCCTGTTTTCTGAAATTTCGTTCATGTGTTCTGTGTTTCGTTTTCCGTTCTGTTTCACTTGTAAACACTCTTAGGCATGTGTTAAACATCGTAAATGAGTTAATGAGATAGGAATAAAGCCTAAAGAGGAATATGTGAATTAAAGAACGGATTGAACTGTTAGTGACCCTCTTGTGTTCATGCAATGTGTAGGGTCAAGCTCCAGGGCAAATCCGCAAACCGATCACTGTAAGTAATATCAATATTTGAAAGCTTGTCAATGTCCAATTGTTTATTCCCTTATAAACTTTATGAGTTGTTAATTGGGATTGTGGACAAAAGTCTGACAGGAATGAATGAATGGACCAAATGTCGTTTTGATATAAATGAACGGACCGAAGGTCGTTTTGACCTGTATGAATGGACCGAAGGTCGTTCTGACATGAATGAGTGGGCCGAAGGCCGTTTTGACGTAAATGAATGGGCTAAAGGCCATTTTGACAGAAATGAATGGGTCGAAGGCCATTTTGATAGGAATGAATGGACTGAAGGTCGTTCTGACATGAATGAGTGGGCCGAAGGCCGTTTGACGTGAATGAATGGGCTAAAGGCCATTTTGACAAGAAATGAATGGGCCGATGGCCATTTTGACAGAAATGAATGGGCCGAAGGCCATTTTGACAGAATGGATGGGCCGAAGGCCGTTTTGACATAAATGAATGGGCCGAAGGCCGTTTTGACAGGAATGGAAACCTGAATGGGCCAAAGGCCAGTATGTTGGAACTACAGTCACTTGATCTAGATTTTGTATAAGTATATATATGTTAAGTAGAAATGTGAATTGGGCCAACGGCCGTTTGGAACGTGTTGTTCTACATTGTTATGTAATTTCTGTATTTGATAGTATTCATCGGGCTATTGCTCACGCTCATTCATGTGTTTGTAGGTGAGCCAAGAGAAGTCCAAACCCAGCCCCAGTGAAGTCTTCCAGGAACAACATGAGTTTTGGAGAGTCAGCCTTGTGTCTCACGCACGAGACCCATCCTTGCCATTTTGTTATGCATTCATAGTTTGTCTTGTTGGCAAGGACTTTATATATATCTGTATATAGTTTTGATATGGGTTGACTCAATTTGGATGATCCTGTCTGTAAACGATTTTATGGTACTGTATTTTGTTGTGGGTTATTAACATATACGTGTATGGTTGTTTGATGTACATATAAGCACGGCTCTATAGACAAAGTTTTTAATTATTGCTTCCGTTTGGCCCCTTTACTCTGACGAGTTATGTCTGTTTTGGTCTGAGGCCGTAGGTAATCTCAGGATTACTGGCCGGTTATGTCCTTAACCCATAGGGGCGGGTTCGGGTCATGACACCAGTGAACACAAAGTCTTGAACTGTTCTGCTATTTATGTAAAGCAAGACAACAAACTTCACACAAGAATTACTCCGACCATCGTTCTGTTCTCACTGTTGTGTCCGGTTTGACCTTGGAACACTAGCCTAGTTCAGTGAGTGGTGTAAAGAATTAGACCCTGTTAATTCTTATAGAAGTGGCCCCATTTCACACTCACATAGGTGACTCTACTTGAGTATCCTGCTATACTCTGCTCAACAGCTCAACACACTAGAGTCATTAAACGCTCAGCTTAACCTTTACACTTACAGGTATCACTAATAAAAGGAATGGCTGGAGGTTTAACCTCCTCAATGACATACCACCGTCACACGCAATTAGGTTGTCCCATTGAACCTAGATCTTGGGATCTCCAGTCAACTAGGTTGGGTTTCCATTCCGGTAACACCTTACAGTAAAGGCCTTAACCCTATTCCTTCTGACGACTTCTCTACTAACACTCGATTTGACCCTTTGGTTAGCGGATCCGCAATGTTGTCCTTAGACTTTACATAGTCTAAAGTGACAACTCTGTTCGAGAGTAGTTATTGTATGGAATTATGTCTACGACAGATATGTCTAGACTTTCCATTGTGCATATTACTCTGTGCCTGTCCAATAGCCGATTGGCTGTCACAATGAATACAGATGGCTGCCACAGGTTTCGACCAATGTGGAATATCCTCAACGAACTGGCAAAGCCATTCAGCTTCTTCAGTTGCTTTATCCAAAGCAATACACTCAGATTCCATCGTTGATCTCGATATGCACGTTTGCTTGGAAGATTTCCAAGACACGGCTGCCCCTCCGAGGGTAGAAACATAACCACTAGTAGATTTGGAGTCTTTTATATCAGATATCCAATCAGCGTCACCATACTCTTCTAGTATCACTGGGTATCTGGTATAATGTAGCCCATAATCCCTGGTGTAGCGTAGATAATCTAACACTTGCATAATGCCCCTCATAATGAGTAGCATTTGGATTACTCGTGTATCTACTAAGCCTACTAACACAGTAGGCTATATCCGACCTTGTACAAGTGACATTTTGTTTTCAGGGTCGCTCGAGCGTAGATTTGTTGCTTCCAGTAGCTTGCTGAATTGCAGACGTGCTCACTCAAGTGAGGAAAGCCACGCTCGAGCGTGGAATGCTAGCTTCCAGTAGCGCTGCAAAACTTCTGAAGCTTCTTTTTTACAACTTGAGCAAAGAAGCTGTCACTCGAGCGAGGTCTCTTGATTGTGTTTGGTCGCTCGAGCGTAGGAAGTCTCACTTGAGCGAGGATTGCGATATTGGCTTTTTAAACATAACGATTCTAGATCATTCACACGCACCACCTTTTCTATTCTTCATCTCCTCTCCCTCTCTCTTTGAAACCCTAAATTTCTTCCTTTAAATACCTCTCATACACTTGAAATCCACCTGAACTCGTTTGCTAGGGGCGAAGAACACATGAAGAGGGTCATTATCAACCGATTGGATTGTGGGTTCATGATAGATCCGTGAAGGAGCTTGGATAGTTGACTTGATAGTTGAGGTAGGGATACTTTTACCCTTGTATGTCTTCATTATTGAAGAGATTTATGGTATTTGGTGTGGTTTGGGAACTAATTGAAGGCTTTGTGTGATTAAACCCTTATTTCTCATATTATTTAATTTAATTATCAAATTGTTTGAAATCCTTCATCTCTGTGGTTAAGAAACTAGATTGGTGACAAGGAATGAGAACCCCCAAATTTGGTAAAAACCCTAAGTTCCCAACTGGATAGAAATTACTTAATATAATGAAATTTTCTCTTGATTCATGGAAATGGATGGATGATGAATAAATAAAATGTGGTCAAAGAAAGAATGGCTTGAATGTTATTGTCCCTTGAGTATTATGTGGTGCTATTCTATAATGATGTTTAATGTTTAAATGTGGGATTGAAATGTGATTTAATTTGTTGAGTATGCATGAGTCCATGTGTGTGTGTCAGTGATGAGTGTAGGTAGTGTTGTGTTGGTACCCGTGCGAGGAGTTTAAAAAGGTTCCCAATTGCCCTATGTAGGCTTATTGCTAGACGAATGTAGGAAAACGTTTTTCGGTGTCCACACAGTCCCGTCGTATAGTAGCCGGCGAAAGTGGAAAAACAGATACTCCTCGCCATATAGTAGTCGGCGAATGTAGGGGTTGTCTTTAAAAGTAAAGGTTGCTCTCAATTGGACTCATGTGGAGAGGAGTGTGGTTCGGTTTTCATAATTGTGGATACTTAGTTGTTGTACTTGATGACATGAGTTGTACTTGCTTCATACATTATAGTGTTTCATTATGAGTTGTTGACGGTTTCCTGTGAAACAAATTTTATTATAATGTTTTATCACATAAATGCCATTATCATGTTCAAAGAATTAGATACTTGGATAAATGTATTCCTACTGGGCATATGGCTCAACCGTAATTTATTTTTCAGGAATCGATGAAGGTCAGCCTCATTGAAGGGTGGATTCAAGCACTAGCTCCATTTATGTTTTTGGGAAATTAATTGAAGTCTAGGGCATATTAGATGTTTTGTAATTTTTTGGGATTTTGTAACTGAACCTTCATATGTATTTTGTAATGTTGTACGCCCACTGGGCTTATGTTTTGTTAAGTTAACTAGTTTATTGAACTGAGTCTTGTACTTCGAACATTGTGGGAATGTATTAATTGAATTGTAATCACTCAACCCTTAGTTCAATGAGACAGATGACCCTTTTGGGATTGCAAGATCATGTCATTATTGTATATTGTGGTGTGATTTATTAGGGCTTGACAAATTGGTATCAGAGCCATGGGCTAGAATACTTTGGGCTCGTGGGAAGTGACGTTTGTCACAATAGGGTCCTTAGGTCAAGACAAAATGCTTAGGATTTTTTGTGTGTTATGTGTTTTTATGTGATTATGTGGATGTGGAGGTAGACTTCTAGGATGTGGCTATGTCTGTTGCATTCATCGAAATCTTATTAGGAAGGCACTTGATTACTGTTCTTTCCACTTGGAGGTCCTTGACTGCCATAGAATTAGCAAGCATCTAGGGAGGATGACTCATTTGCGTTTCTGTGTGAATGTTGAGTATCTGTTTAAATTAATTGATGTGTAATAGTATGAGGTTTGCAAGGGAAGTGAACATAGAACACTTAGATGCGAGAACTCGTTATTGAATTTAACCTTGTCCCTATTTTCTTATAGATGTCGGGGCGCGCTGGAGCTCGGGGTAAACCCCGTCGGGGTGGCAGAACTATCCAAGCCCAACCTGAGATCCCTCTGCAAGAGGAAGGAGTGGGTCAAAACAACATACCCATTCCACCGGCCTAAGAAGCTATGGGGGTCTTGGCCAAGGAAATGGCAAAGGCTCTGTGGGAGTCCATGGAAATATTGAGAGCCGAACAAGCAGCTAAGACCATTGAAGGGGAGACAAGAGCTTCCTTCCTGAAAAAGGAGTTCTTTCGTTCTAATCCTATCGAGTATAGTGGCGAGCCCGATTCGATGAAAGCTAACAAGTGGCTAGAGCAAATAGTCAAGTCTTTTGAAATCTTAGACATCCGAGAACATGAGTTGCGAGTGGCGTTGGTGGCCTACCAACCGAAGGGAGAGGCAGGGCAGTGGTGGAAATCCATTAAGCACAGGGTTGAACATACTTGGGAAGCATTTGTGCAAGCTTTCCATGGAAAATTCCTCCCTCCCACAGCTAAAGAACGATTGAAGAAACAGTTTGAGCAACTATTACAACTAGATACACCAGTGGCGGAGTATGAGGCTAAGTTTACTAGCTTATCTCATTTTGCACCCGAATTAGTGGCTACAGAAGAGCGTAAGTGCCTTGAATTTGAGAAGAGGTTGAGGCCGAAGATCTTGATGAAGGTGGTTGGCAATATGATCCATGACTATGATCGTTTAGTTGAAGCGATAGCCCATGTGGAGATCACTGTGGAGGCCGAAGAGGCAAGGCAAAAGTCAAAGAGAGAAGGACAGTCTGATACCAGGAGTGCCACGGGTTCTTCCAAGAGGTCCAGGGGTTTGTCATCATCTTGGAAATCCCCTCCACAACAAGTTAAATCTTCAAGTTCTGTGTCGGCTGGTAGTTCGGGAAACATGCCCCGAGTTATCAGTGCATGTTATAGGTGTGGCCAAATAGGTCACAAGGTAGCGGAGTGTGGACAGAAAGGTGGAGCACGGTCTCAACCTGTGCATCCACAAAGTCAATCTCAAAATAGGAGCCAACCACATTCTTGTTACCAATGTGGACAACCTGGACATTTGAAGAAGTTCTGTCCGCAGAAAATAGGGGTTTCAGAGGTGGCAGGATCTAGGCAGTCTGGAGGTTTACAGACGGGTCAGGGCAGAGGCAACCATATCAGTCGGTTCAATCAGGACAAGCATCTAGAGCAGTTCAAGGAACAACATCTGCTCAATCCACATAACAAGCTTATGTTCTGAGAGGTGACATGGGGGAGTAGAGGTCGTAAGGCAGAGTGTATACTGTCACCACTTCCGAGCCAGCTACGGGGCCATCAGTTATGAGAGGTACATTTATTGTTTTTAATACTTGGGCTAAGGTGTTAATTGACACTGGAGCATCGCATTCATTTATTGCCATGTTGTTTGCTTCGTTGTTGGGGTTAGAGAGTAGACAACTGCAGGCTTTGCTTGCAGTAGAATCACCAGTAGGGGGAAAGGTCATACTAACCCGGGAATGTCAGGGGTGTATAATTGAGGTGGTTGGTCAGCAGCTCCCATTTAATTTTGTATTGTTGGAAATGTCGGGTTTTGATGTTATTCTCGGAATGGATTCGTTGTTCACCTACCAGGCGACAATAAATTGTCATTGAGAAAGGGTTACAGTGTGTACTGCAAATGGTGATTGTTTCACGTTTCTGGGGGATAGGAGTGATAAGTCCTTACCCTCCTCTTATTACCCATGTGGTCGAGGTCAATTTAATTTCCTTTGAGCAACCCTTTGAGAGGATGAAAGCGATTTAGTTCGGGATGAATTCCCAAGAGTAATGTGTGAATACCTCGACATTTTTCCTGAAGACCTTACAGAGTTGCCACCTCATAGGGAGCTAGAATTCACCATAGACTTGCTTCCGGGTACGACACCTATCTCCTTGTCGCCATATCAGTTTGCTCCAGCTGAATTGGTGGTTCTGAAGAAACAATTGCAAGAGTTACTTAGTAAGGGCTTTATACGCCCTAGCATGTCGCCTTGGGAGGGCCTCGGCTTTGTTTGCAAAGAAGAAGGATGGGTCATTGAGATTGTGCATAGATTAGCGTAAATTGAATCAAGCCACGGTTAAGAATAAATATCCCCTGCCTAGAATTGATGACCTCTTTGACCAACTCAAGGGCTCTCGTTGTTTCTCCAAGATAGATCTAAGGTCGAGTTATCATCAAATTTGAGTTAGAGAAATGGACATTTCCAAAACCACCTTTCGTACCCGATATGGTCATTATTCGTTCTTGGTTATGCCTTTTGGGTTGACCAACGCCCCAGCCATGTTCATGGATTTAATGAATAGGATCTTCCGGGAATTCCTTGATAAATTTGTGGTTGCCTTTGTCAATGATATTCTTATTTGTTTGCCTTCCGAAAAGAACATAAGGGGCATCTTCGTACAGTTTTGCAACTTCTTAGGGAGCATTGGTTATATGCAAAGTATGAGAAGTGTGAATTCTGGCTTACGGAAGTAAAGTTTTTGGGTCACGTAGTTTCGGGAGACGGAGTTATGGTGGACTCTTCAAAAATAGAAGCTGTGTTTGGGTGGGAGAAGCCTAAGAATGCCTCAAAAATTCGTAGCTTTTTGGGTTTAGCCGGTTACTACCGCCGATTTGTAAAGAATTTCTCTTCCTTAGCATTACCCTTAACAAGGTTGACCCGCAAGGGAATGAAGTCTGTTTGGAATGAAGCATGTGAGAACTCCTTCCAAGAAATAAAGCTTAGACTAACCACCGCTCCAATTCTTGTCATTCTAGAACGAGGGCTAGGTTATACGATGTATTGTAATGCTTCTAGAGAGGGATTGGGATGTGTTTTAATGCAAGAGGGAAGGGTGGCAGCATATGGCTCACATCAATTGAAGACTCATGAAAGAAATTACCCAACTCATGACCTAGAACTTGTCACGGTTGTGTTCGCCTTGAAGTTGTGGAGTGTAGACACCCTATTTTTGACCGTCCTTAAGACTTGGACGTCATCGTTTGAACACTCGATGATTACCCTTGTTTGTGTTCGTCTTGTGTTCTCGGAGGTTTCGGCTACGCGCCTTACCTCGAAACCTCTCGACTCGACTCGGGGACCATTGGCTTGAGGCCACCGGCCTTGTTTCCTTGCCACCGCCATTGGTGATTGGCCGGTCGGCACTATTGATGGTCGGTCGGCATTGTGTTTAGTCGGCCGGCCACTGTTTTCTGATCAATCGCCACTTTTCCTGGCCGAGACCTTTTCTTGAGGGAGCTTGACCCTTTTGAGCCCTTTTTAGCTTCTTGAGGAAGCTTGAACCTTTTTTTTTAGCTTCTCCAAGAAACTTGACCCTTTCGACCCTTTTTTTAGCTTCTCCAAGAAGCTTGACCTTTTTTTAGCTTCTCCAAGAAGCTGACCCCTTTTTTAAAGCTTCTTGAAGAAGCTTGAACCTCTTGACCCCTTTTGCCTAGCTTCTCCAAGAAGCTTGGCCCCTTTTGATCAAAGCTTCTAAAGAGAAGCTTGGCCTTTTTGCTCAAAGCTTCTAGAGAAGGCTTTGCCCCATTGGTTTCTCTATATAAAGAGAGCCTCTCCTCCCCTTTTAGGGTTAGAAAAATCTGATATATATGACATATATATCATTCCCTCTCTATTATCTCCCTCTCTCTCACATAGAGAAGCAACCTTGGAAGTTGTGAAATTTTCAGAGAAGCAGAACAGTCAAAGCAGAGGCAAACTTGTGCATGGCAGTGACTCATTTGGGTGGGTTAGAGGGTCCAAAAGGGGCTTGTTCTTGGCCTATTGCACACCACTTCATAGCCACACACTTTCATCATCACTTGGAGGTTCTTGGAGCTTTTTTTCAGAGGTTGGGGGTTGCATTTTTGGGTCTAGAGGCTGCTGTCCCCTTTTGGCTACAAAGGTAACCCCTTTTCCCTCTTTATTCCCCGTTTTTGCACACCATTTTAGCCTGTCTTTCTTGTTGATTTGAGCTTTGTGTATAACATAAAAAATTTTTTTTTTGTGTTTAAGATACTTCATTAAGGTCACTTTTGTGTTTGGGGTCGTTTACCCCCTCTTAGGCCTTTTTTGGCCCCATTTTGTGCTATTTTTGGTGAGTTTCGGGACCACCTTGTTTGGGCCTCCTCACCACTGAAATCTTGAGGGATTTCAGTGGTGAGGATGGTGGTTTAAGGTCCTAAGAAGGAGAGGGCCATCCCCTCTCCTTGTTGTCTTGTTTGATGCCCTTTTTGGCCTTACAAAGGGGCCTATATTTGCACACTTCTTGAGCTCGGTTCAGGGATTTTTCAGTAGGTTTCAGGACCCCCATAAGCCATTTCCAGAGTTGTTTTGGTCATATTGAATGTCTATCTTGCATGTCCTTAATAACTCCTTGCATGGCCCTCTAAAGTAACTCATCATTTTTGCATGCCATGGTTGTGTATCAGTGGTTATTTGGGCCTATTTTCACATGTTTTATTCACTAATTTTTGATGGTTTGGTGAGATTCCGTGTGCATCATACACTTGCTTTGTATTCCTCTATTTTGCCTAGAAATGCATCTTGCCTTTGGACCACCATGCTTGCATATTTTGGCTTAGCTTTGTGAAGTTTTTAGTCATGTTTTAACATGCTTAAGGTCTTTCTTGGGTCTTTAGATTCACATATTCCATGTTTAGTATAGCCCCTTTGCATTTTGGCTTGTTGGCCTTAAGTGTGTGAGTATGTAGCATGCTGTATTTGCTTTGTTTTATTGGTTTGGCACCATTTGTAGCATCATTTCAGTCCCTTTGACATGCTTGTATGCTTGCCTTGGACACCTCTTTAATGCTTTGAAAGTTTGTGTAGCATGCTCCATGTTTTGTCATTTGTGCATGCCTTTGAATTTAGGTCATTTGGATGCCATCCAAGTGATCTTTAGGCCTTGTTTTAATATGCTAAAATTCTGTTTTTAGTCATTTAATTCATGCCATGTGTGGTTGCACTATGTGTAGTTCAATACTTCTTTGGTGGGCCTTAGGAATTGGACCATATTTGCATGCATGTTTGCATGTCATTTAGCCCTTATTTCATAGCACTATGGCCGCTATTTTGGGCCTAATTAGAGCTGCCCAAATCATGTTTAAGTCTATCTTTTTGTTTGTTGCATGCTCTCCTTGTATATTGTAGCATATTGGTGAGGTGTTGCATGTTTAAAATCACATGATTGAATGAAGTCACATGTTGGCTTACATGCTTGAATGCCTACATTAGCCTTGCACACTTGTTAGTCGCATTGCTCTATGCCTTGCATTTCTTGTTGCATTGGCATGCATGCTTGGCCTCTTGACTATCCATGATAGAGGTTAAGTCCCCATTGGTTTGATTGTTTGCATTGCATTTGACATGGAAATACATAACTTGGTCTCTTGGGCCATCACGCATTGAAATGCGCGATTGATGGTCCGAGAACCAAGGAGCATGTCCCTTTGAGTCACTAACATGATAAGGGACATGATTGGTGCATATATGCCTTGAATTGTATTGCCATGCTCTGCCTTGCCCTCTGTTGCTGTCAATTGCAGATTCTACAGGAGCTTTCTGCCGACTGGCAGTGTTAAGTGCCGACCGGCAATCCTCCCTTTGCCGATAGATTCACCAATGGCCGTGATCACAGGCCACTGCCGGTGGGCATTCTGTTCAGCCGATGGCATTCCCCAGTATCCAAAGAAGCAATCCTGAGGTTCTAGCAGCCTCCAGAGGAGTACAGCAAGGAAAACAAAGGCAGCCTATGCATGGCGGTGCACTTCCGAGCAAGACCCGAGCACGCATTGCATCGAGCTCTCCTCCCGAGGCGGTTTATTGTTTTTTCTAGCTTAGTTAGTTTGTCAGCTAATTAGGCAATTTGTAATAATTAATTAGCTTGTAGGTTAATTATCTGTAACATTTATTCGGTTCCTCCAAGCGAGGGCGAATCTGTAATAAGTGTGGGTGAGTGTGTGAAAGTCTTCCAACCCCCACTTCTTTCTTCCTTTTACTTACCTGCTTTGATAGTTAGTAATAGGTCAATGTTTACCTTAGCATACCTTATGCTATGCATGCGTGCATCATTCATCAGTATTGCATGCACCAGGCTCGGCGCATCATACTAACTGCATAAGTATTTCAAATCTAACTTGAATACATGCTACTTGTGCATTTTCACATGTTATTTATAGACTAGCCAAGCCTACTCTAAAAACACTCTTAATAAACAATAAAGAGGGCT